CAGTCACACATTAGTCGAAGCTCTTGGGGCCTCCTGGTGGGTTGCCTAAAAGGGGCCCAGGCCGCTGACCACCTTTCCATATGGGAAAGTGAGCCCTGTATGCCATGATCATGGCCTAAGTAAGTGAATGCGGTCGCACTACCAGCTTACCACCTCTTGACTTACACAGGCTTACTGATTGGACATGCACGCGGGCGCTAAGGTGAAGGAGGTGCACGACTAGGAAGAGGAAGCACAATGGTTGTAGTTGAACTGTTGGGCGTCGTGTCAGATAAGCGACATTGAACTCTTTGCGAATGACCGCAAGAAGGGAATGGTGGCTACGACAATACACACTCTCTCTCCTCAGCCCTTGCTTAATGTAAGCCCAATGGTAGGATGAAACTACTATTGGTTATAAAAGTGTTATTATTGGTATTGATTTTACAAGCGTTGTGACTATCATCATTATTATTATTATTATTATTATTATTATTATTGTTATCATTTTATTTTTGTTTAACCGATACTTAATGTCATGTGATAGGAAGGGGATCAGGTGTGTAAAGCTGTGAGGTATTGGAGAGGAGAGAGGCACTTTCATAGTGCCTGCCTCCTCCATCCTCCTCCATTTTTATCCTTGTTTGTTTTTTAGGCATGTGTCTTCTCAACTATAAGTATCTGATGGTGTACCTCCGTTGAGGATAGCCTTGGTTTTTGCTGACTTTAAAAGTTCAGACAAACAATTGCATAGGTTAGACATGACCGGTTATAGGGCGATTGCGGGAGCTCTGCCGGAGTTCAGGAGGAACTCTGGAGGCAGGAAACCGTAAGTTACGCGTCACCTATTCCTTTCCCGTTTACCCTTACAGGCTACGCCCTTCTATCAGACTGCTTGTATGATTGTACGATATACTGTTCATGGCTTTCTTCGGGACTAAAGCACCAAAAGCAAAAGGGCTATATGATTGAAATCAGAACGTGCCTGATGTCGTGGAAAGGAACCTAGGAAAGAACCGAGAAGGAACTTAGCCTGCATGGTCTTGAGAAAACAAAGGCAGTATGATGGAGGCCTCCGTTGGGGTCGTCAAGCTGCCTGCATAGAATGACTAAAAGGGTGCTCGCGGTGCGAACTACCCAGCCATCCACCTAGATAGATGACTTTTGACATGCATACATCGGTGACGAGAAGATGCCGAGCGTCTTCTTTGTTGACTTACCAGCTAAATCCATATCCGGTACTCCCGAGGAGTACATGTCCTTAATCAAAGCATGACTAATCCGGTACTCCCGAGGAGTACATGTCTTTAATCAAAGCATGACTAATCCGGTACTCCCGAGGAGTACATGTCTTTAAACAAAGCATGACTAATTCGGTACTCCCGAGGAGTACATGTCTTTAATCAAAGCATAACTAATCCGGTGCTTCCGTGAAGTACATCTTTCAGTTTAACAAAAGTCTTTTTGATCCGGTACTTCCGTGAAGTACATCTTTCAGTTTAAC